TCATTAATTCCATATCTGAGACAATGTAGACAAGGATTATGGTGGAGTTTGGGGATTTCTAAACAGTTAGGGCTGGACTGGCCACTAAACACTGACAGATGCTCCCTCTCCCTCCCAAAAATGGGAAGGGAAACAGAATAAGGTAGAAAGACTTATGGGTTGGAAAAGAAAACTAAAGCAGCTTTAATGAAACAATAATAGTACTGATAAGGAATGTAAATAATGATAAATATATACAAAACTGGTATCGAACCTGATTCCTCCCTGCCATAGCAATCCTCACTGGTGCTGCAGAGCAGGCGGCACGGGGGAAGCCCCAGGCTCAGCGGCAGAGGGGAGCTGGACACAGGAGCTGGATTTGGGAACTCAGGATTGGGATCAAAGACAGAAGAACAAATGCAGTCCTCAGATGCTAACCATTGGAGAAGAAAACTTAACCCTCATGATCTCTCAGCTTTATACCAAATATAATGTACATGGAATGGAATACTCTTGTTGGTCACCTGTCCTGTCTGTCACTCACTGGAGGTGCAACCTTGTACTTCCTTGTGACCCCTGCTACTTCCCAGCACCCCCAACACGGCACACAAGAGCCAACAGTGACCGTGGTCACTGTAGGAACAAGTCTAGTAAGAAAGGGCCTCTCTGCATCCCAATCCACGGCAGTAACTCTAAACATCAGGCACTATCACTTCTAGTAGCAGACAGTGTCTGCAGAAACATGCTGGTACCTTCAGAAAGTGCAGCCTCTTAGAAGAGACTGAGCTGAAAGGTAACATCACTAAACAGAATTGGTTCTGTTTAGCTCAAACCAGGACAGGGTTCATTCCTGAATATGTTTAATTTTCATCCCGTTGTCCCTGTTTAGTATACACATTTTCTTTTTCTTACTGAGGCACAAAACAAAAGCCTTTTTGTATACTAACTTGTTCAGGTATAGCTTAACTTTCATTTTTATCATGGTACCTCAGGTGCAGTTTCCTGTGCTGATTTTTCTTTCTCTTCTCTCCCCTGTCTGTCCTCTGCTATTCTGGATAGGATCTCTGCACGTTTATTGTGTCTTGCACCATATTATCAGTGGTTGGCTTGTCAAACATCATGTCTTACCCCTTTAGCTTGAAACACAGATCCTTAAATATTTTAGCATTTTTATGTTAAATGTCAAGCTTCTGCTGTATTTTGAATGTCTTTGCTAACCTTCACTGTCAGATTGTTTGGGTGTATGCTTCTGGAATTCAAAGATCTAGTTATAAACCTGTTGGAGATTTTTTCATTCTTTATTTAAATAAAAATACAGTAAAATATGGATTAGGTTATGAGCAGCTGCTTTATAATGTCCTCATTAGTTACTGAGAACAGTCTTGAAGTAATGGAGTCATTTGATGCTTCAGTAGCTATTTAATAAATTTATCAGCTATTACCTCCAAGAATAACTAAGCCTTTCACTTAAAGGTTTGATTTGTTCTCTATTTTGTGTCTGAGTACTTAGTTTCCTAAAATGATATAATTTGCTTTATTTTTATCTAACATGAAAGATCTGCATCCATATTAAACACTGATGCTGGAACAAATGCCCCATTAATGTAATGGCTTTATGAGAACCTATTTTACCTGCTTCCCTTCCCCAGAGGATTTGACCCAAACAGATTTCTCTTCTTGTTATCTGTTATATTTTTTCCAGTTTGACATGTAACTGACACACATCGTTCTACTCTTTATTTATATTTTGAATATTTTCTGTTCCTCCATACTTGCATTCTTAGTTACAAATGGTGTCTCACCATGCTGTGGTTACTCTGTCATGTTTTGTTCTGCACCATGGTTTTAAACCTCTGGCTCCTACAGACACAACCAGCTAATTCGTGATACTCATAAAATGTGCAGCTTTATTTTCATCATCCTTTCTCATGGTAGTTTTTATCAGTTCTTCACTATCTTTGAAAGTGTATTAAAAAGAGGCATGAAAATGTCCCTCTAAAGTTTAAGATTCTCTGTGTCAGTAGTGCAGGCTGTATTCCAAAAAAGTTTCCACAGATGTTTGAAGATGACTTTTTGGAAGATCATTTTTCAGATGATATACCTCATGCTTTCTAAAACCTTCCTCACAGTACTTGTCCCTGAGCTGCTTGTTTATCTTGTTATTAGCTCATAACCTTCAGCCACCTTCAGGGGAACCTGGAAGAATTAAATTAATTTGAGAGACCTGTTTGTCACATGGAGTTCCTTCTGCCTCTGGCCCCCTTCCTTCCCCCTTTAAGTGAACATTTAGTTGGCAGGTTTTCATTTTCAAGTTAACATCTCATCTCAATTTTCTGAAGTGTCTTAGTTATTTTATGATTCGTAGTCAAAATATTTCTTGGACTCAGGGTAACTGCTGTGTATGACTTTATAACTGCAACCTTTTCTAGTCAAAGATTACTTTTGCCTTAGTAGGGATAATCCCACACCAGTGAACTTTTTTTGTCCCCCAGTAGATACAGTTGCCTAGCCATTCTTTATTAGAATTACAAATATTTTTCGATCGTACTTTGTTTATAGTTTGCATTTTGGGAAACATGGAACCATCCAATCCCCTTGTTTGCTGTAATGCATAAGAAACAGATGTTGCAGGTGTACCAAGTGCATCCAGAAACATACACTCTGATGTGTTGCTTGAATTCTTACAAGTGTATTTGTCTTCTGCTATCTTGCCCTTGAATCCTGCACTTGTAGTCCATGTTCTTACGTTTTTGTTGCACAGATCCCTGCTATTTTATACATGTTTAAGTATTTTTTTAAGTTAATTTTCCTCCCTTTCTATCTCCTTGTTTTTTCCCTTAGCTCTTGCGTGATGAATCTTAGTGATTTACTGACCCTATGCCTTCTCCCTGCTACAAAATGCTGAAATGCTTGAAGGCTGTTAATGTAAATTCACTCTATCTATAAACTGCACATAATAAGGTATACATTATGATTATCTTCTTTCCTGAATGACTCCTGAATTCAGTGCTTCTAAATTTATTAAGTTTTGTAACTTCTGTAAAGTGCTTTATGATGATGAACTTAAAAAAAATTGAACTTCTTTAGGCTCTTCAAACTAAAAAAGTGCTCTCTTCTTTTGATGTACGGAGAAACAGGAAAGGAATTGTATGACGTAGAGTCCTGTGATTTTGTCTTTGGGTTTTGATACCCAGGTCTTTCTGTTTGGGTGGGTGTGTTTGTGGTTGGGGTGGAATAGATGTGGTAGTGTAAGGGGAAGGGGATGTTACACGTCATTTGCCCTTCTCTTGAGTAAAATGGTGGACAGGCCTGGACATTTTTTATTCCAGTGATACACACATAGTTAAACAAATAACTAGACTGGACTGCCCTGCCAAATGAAATACAACTATGAATTATCTGTATAGTTCCCTGTATACTTAAATCCCAGTTACTGATAGGAAGAAAGCTAAACAGAGTAACTGATTGCTCTGTTCTGTGCTCCCGCAGGAGATCAGGTGAGATTCCAAATGACCTTATTTACCTTGCTTATCCACAGGTGCTCATTCTCTTAAAATAACTCAGCAACCTGCCTTTTGTTTCCTCCTCAGTTCCACTAACACACATTGTACAATTAAGGTAGTGTGATTCATTATTAGTTTTACATGTTGGATAGTTTCTGCAGAGGACGTTCAGTGCAACACTAAAGCTTTAGCTGCTGTAACTTGCCGAGATACTTGATGTCATTTCTTAAATTCTTGAGAAAACCCTCTGGCAGTTTGCAGTTGCTATTAGCAGCCTCAAAGTTTGTATTTGGGATAAGAAAGTTCTGAGCTTTCACACATGCCCACCCTCTACACCATTCTCAGTCTTCCCACACAAACCATATGACCAATCATATAATTTTTTCACTTAAGATGATTAAGGTTGCACTGGAGGAAAATGACAAAGTACACCTGGGTTTAAAAACAGAAAGTAGGTTAACAGTTTTATATGCATACTTACCTCCTTTGCGCTCTTTAATCTTGCAATTTACTAAAAATTGCTTTTAAATTAGTATTTTTTGACTGTATTATCTGTTCCCAGATGCTATAACTCCTATAAATGCGCATACCAATTGACTAACTCCTTTATTGTCACATTGCATTTACATTCTTTAATTATCCAGGAAGGTGTCTGAGTTAATCTCTGTGGAGAACCTTCTACTGAGTGTGAGAGGAATATGCAGTCATCATCTTGTGAGGCTATGCACTTCATTTGTCTTCCTGCCATTAGGAACATCAACTTTGAAATCCAGCTTAATTTACAGTGGCTTCCAACAATCATGTTTGCTTCCATTATGAATAGTTTGCTGCATACTTGATGAATGATGTGCTTTCTTGAGGTTGTCACTTGAAAATAACCAAAATTCAAGTCAAACATTAATGTTAGTGCTTGCTGATGGCAACGTAATGTAGAGTGGAGCTACATTTTCTTGTTGACCTTACTAATGGTGACTAGCTCCCATGAGTAGTATCTGGTCTAGTGGTATGTTTTTCAGTGTAGCCTCTTCCATTTCCTATAACAGAATTTGATATTATAGGGAAGTATCTTGCATCGATACCAAGTTGCTTTCTTCTGAGAGTTATGTGCTAGATAACTATCATCTGAGCCAGTTAATGGAAAACATATTCCTTTCTAATAAAAGTAGTAAAGAAGCTCTTCAGTAAAGATGTTTCTTTTCAGCATATGAAGGACTGGTTTTAGAGTTTTTTCCAATTTCGTTAAGTTATATTGTCTTCCTTAACTCCTAAAAAAATGTTAAAAATGCTGTCAACTGTTGTTTCTCTCTTGTTGAAAAGACCGTCTTGTAAAAAGCAGTTAATTTGATGATGTCAGATATTTTACTTCATTGTAATTGCTTCATGAAACAATTATTTAAATTAACACTGTCTTTGAAGTTATGTTTTCTCTAGTTTGGTGTGACGTCGACTATCTGTAAAAAATGTTTTGCTTGAATTAGAATCTCTTTTCTTTCTCTTTTTTGTTTCCCTTTTCACTAGACTACTGTTTACAAAAGTCAAATTGGAGTCCCTGTGCAGAGGCCCAGATGAAGCACTCCTGACCTGTAAACACATGCTGCAGATTTGGAAATCCTGCTACAATCTCACTAACCCAAGGTAAGATGCTGTAGAATTCTAGGCTGCTCGATACCTTGCTCAGTACCTTTCAGATCGGCAGTTCTCCTTTTACCTAGTCTGGTGTTTCATATGAACAGCCTAATCTTTGGGACTCTAGAGACTGAAGTGCAAAGATGCCAGTTGATGGAAATGCAGAAACTACTTCTATGAAGCTCATAAACTGAGGGCTGATAACAGAGAGAGGGTAACTGTGCCATCCTCCTTCATGGGGCTGAATGCACTGGTATCATCTTGATTTTTACCCTGGTCAGAATTATAGAGCTTTTTTATATTGGCTAGTGGAGAAATTACTGTGATGGAAATGTAATTCAAGGACTTTTGCTAAATAAAATGAAGGAGGGCTAGACATTAATTAAGACTACAGAAACATCAGAAGTCAGATGCATAAATACGATGTGCTTGCAGAGTCTGCATGGATTTTTTTTTTTTTTTTTAAAAGGAGATCTAGCTTACAAACCTGTTTAGGTACCTCAGAGTCAAAGTATTAGGATAAGTTGTTATAGTCCTATTTGGGTTTCCAAAATGTTTTGTGAAGGTCCTTTGCCATATATATGTAGATAAGCTGTGAAATAAACAGGAAGGTCACCTTGCAGAAGTCCATGCTGGTACTATTCAACCCGTTTATCAAGTACCTGGGGAAGAGGACAAGCAGAATTTGCTGCTACCTGGTTGTTTGAAGGGTTGATAGTTTCTGGAGAAGAGATGCTGCAGCAGAAGAGCTTTGTACCAGATGCTGTCAGACACCTGTGTAGCAGTATGATCAACATGATCTGTTTGGTTTTTACTCTTACTTTGTTTATCCCAGTTATGTAAACACATGCATCTCTAAGAAAATTGAGGGAGCTGGCTTAATGGCCAAAGAGGGAAAAATGCTTCTGTCCTTAGCAAGCTCATGAACAGTTGAGAGCAGGAACGTTTGGAGGGTTTGGCAGGAAACGCGTAGGAAGGGACCCGAGTCAGTCACAGCGCGTGGAGAGAGTCTGATTCTGCGCTGTGGAGCAGCGAGCAGGGCTTGGCAGTTACACAAAGCAAGTACGTCAGCAACCAGCAAGGTTTGGGCTGAATTATTTTCAATTTGAAGTTGCTGAACTAGCAGCCAGGGACCAGGGAGAAAATTTCTCTTCTACCTTAGTGGATGGTGGTTCATTTTAGTTGACTACTTGCATGGGAGGGAGAGGGGTTTAAGGAGGATTGTCAGAATGCTATGCTGTGCAGAATGATTAAAATTTCTATGTAAGCTTGATTTCAGTGAGGCTTTGCAGGTACTCCAGCAGAACTTTTCACCTTCCATTCTGCTTTTACGTCCTTTACACAGATCAGGGCTCTAATTATGACTTGTCAATACTTTTTTATAGTTGTTGTGCTTACAGCTAGTGTGCCATGTTAAATACACGTTAAGTAATGCTTCCTTCAGACATCAGCGGTGACTGTGAAAACTTAGTCTTGGCTGTGTGAACTTCAAAAAACTGTTTGCCAGCTCTCATGTCACTGTTCTCCTTCAAGAACATCTAAGTGGAAAAAATAATGAGAACTACTTTGCATCTCATAGTTTTTACTGCTTATTTTTTTATCTTGACATTTAAGGCTTTTCTTGAAGTTCTGATTTATGGTAACAAATCAAAATCAAATTAGGAGTAGAGTGGACAGGAGTTGTGGATAAGTGTTATGATGGAAGGTGGCAGGTTTGCCAAATCACACACTGAGAGTTGTATCAAACAGTGAATATGGATATCAAGCTGTAACCTTTCTTTGGATGGTCCTTGTGAGATGTAAGGGATGAATACCTTCATGTTGTATTATGGTGATCCAGATCTGTCTGACTGGGATAAAAATTATCACTCAGACCTGAAATGCGATTGGGAACTTCGTTTCACCCAACAGCACTCCACATGTAGTGATGATGATGCAGGATTGTAGTGAAAAGTTGAATTTTCCAAAATCTCTAATTTTAACACACACTTCATTTTGTAGAAGAGCACTGATTGAAAATTATGTCTCCCACTGGAAATAATTGAAGAGGTTTTTAGTAGTTCTTTAAACCAATAAGAAAAGGCCTTTTAATAATTTGAAGCCTTTGTAGAATGTTGTTTTTCAAAGATTATTTAAATATCCTTTTTGGAGATTCGAAACATCTTTTTTCTATTATGATTTAAATGGAAAACTAATTTTGATGTACTGTCTTCCCAATGAGATAAGAACTCACTTTTTTATATGCTTTATGTTAAATATTTCTTCTTGCAATTAATCACATTTTGTGGAGTAAACTTGGGTTCAGTGTCCTCAATAGTCTTTTACTAATGAAAATAAATTATGTATAGCTAGGTAGATCACACTTAAGGGCTGAATGCAACACTGTGCCTTACCTTTGTTCAGCTGACTGAGAACAGTTTTCTTTCATCTTCAATTGGTGTACAAGTGTTTTCCTCCTGAGATGATTAATATGAATTTAAAACTTATTTTGTCATGCAAGGCTTGCAAGGTTTAAATGTTTATCCTACACTGCTTGTCAACAGGTGAACTTCCACTGCTTTTTAGTTCATCAAACGTTTTTGCACACTCTTTGGATGTAGATCATGCTTGAAGTTCATTCGAACGGAGTTCAGTTCTTTTCCAGTTCTTAGTTTGCATTAGGAAAACAGAGCAAACCACAATGCCAGTGCTGTGCTTAGACGATACTGACATTAAGCCTGGCTCTCTCGTTGTCATCAACATTTGTCATGTCATTGCTTGTGGATTGAGGAAGTAATTAATGCAGCAGTTACCAGAAAATATGCACCAACTGATGTAACAGCTGTAGAAGGTAGCGTGTGTCCCAGAAAGCTGCCTTCTGTTTCCTGTGAATTCCTATAACGGCATCATTTTGTAAGGAAATCATCACGCAGTACTATTAGGGCAATGCAGAATTTTACTGATGCTGTTTCAGTAGCAGCTCTACAAAGAGAGGAAGTCGTTTCACTGATTTTTGAAGTGTGCCCCTCTTTAGAGTTGCTTCTTGCTCTTCTGTCAGTTCAAACTCAGAAGAGGAGGATTTTAAAATTAAGGCAAATGGAAAGATGTACTGAATTCCTGTCTTGTAGTTCAGATTAAAGTCTCTTGGGTGAGAATCAGACAAAAGTTTGCATTCTACTAAGTTGAGCTTTAAAGTTTAATTATTTTTGAGTTTGTGGGGTGCTTTTTTATTAAATATGGTTTTAAAAAAAATATTGATAGTGAATAGTACCAGACTTACAATCCTAAAAATTAATTTACTGTATTAACCACATAATGTTACATAAGAAGTGCCCCTATGTGCCTCCTCACACTTTTCTGTCCATGTGTCTCAATACTCGCTTCATCTTAAGAAGCACTTAGTTCTTCAATCCCTGTTCTTCTGTCAAATTTTTAATAGTAATCCTAGGAGTAAATAGTTTTCTAGTATATCAACAGGAAGGCTGACTGACAAACACCGAGTTACAACTACAGTAGAAATGAAGTGCTTTTGTCCACAGGAGCAATCAGTGAAAACCACGGCTACTGCTCAGGCTCCTGAGGTGTTGGAAGGGTTCAGAACGCTCCTACTGCACTATTAGGATCAAATTCAACATTAGGCAGTTAACATGTATGTGTGTTTATATTAAAAAAATGCTGAAAGAACCTAAAACTGTGGAGGTAAAAGTGGCGCCTTTTTAACATGAAATGTAGTTATGGCATCTTTGTAACATCTTTGCCTAAAATTAGATATTCTGAGTTTTCCGTCTGGGAGAGGTGTGGGTTTTCAAACTTATATCTGCCATCTCAGCTTCCTTTGAGATCTGCACCTCATATTATATAAAAGTTTAAGGTGCAATAAATCCTTTCTGTAAAGGATTCTGTTAGCTAGGAATAAAATTAAAAGTGTATTTTCCTTTGTGATTGGATTAATTATGAAAACAAAATTGCCGAAGTAAATATGGATTTAGTTTTGCTCTGCTTAATTCTGTTTTAATGCAACTGGCTTAATGCATTATGAGTGGTTAGTGGTGCTTCGTACTAAATTTGTTCATAGCAGGAACTTTTATAGCAAGAACCTTTGTGGGAGGAGGGCAGCATGCAACTTGTATCTCTGTATACAATTTTATATTTTAATAGCTTACAACTTCTGTACTTCATTACAGTGATTCTGGACGTGGGAGCAGCCTGTTAGACAGAGCTATTGCTGACAGACGACAGCTTAACACAATTACATTACCAGATTTCAGTGATCCTGAAACAGGTAAGAACTGTGTTTGAACAATAAAGTAAGTAAAATGGTCCAGCAGTAGCTAAGTTTTGCATTAGTTTTTTAGTTTTATTTTGCAAAATGAAATCATATTTTTATTGTTGTCATGTAAGTGGAAATTATGCAATGTAAGATGTTTTTTCTATGTGGATTAAAATATCTGTAATATGGATCTTGCTGAGCTTAGTGGTATTTTCTTATGCAAGGGCATTAGTTTGCTAAACTAGCCTGTTTGCCAGAGTTCTTAAGTTTTCCTGTCCATGTGGTATTTGCATATACTTTCTTTTTAAAAGGTGAAAAATTTCAGAAAACTTTTAATTTCAAAAAAACTGAAGAGATCATTGCTAATTAAGTTCATTCAAATCTCTGATATATATTGAAATATAATTATGTAGTAGGTTGGCTTACTGTAGACAGAGCTTTGACTTTGTAAGTTTAATTTATTACAACTAATATATGCTGTGATACTGTGATATCTATATATATATAAAACTGTGGTGCACAGGTGCACTACATAAAATCTAAGATTGTTACATGCCAGTAAATGTTTGCAATATGTAATTTGCCTATTTTAATATATTAATTTATCACAATGCAAACTGATATGCATTAAAAGTCATATAACCAAAAAACAGGTATGCTGTAAAAATTGCAGTAGGAATTACCATGATGATGTTAGTTCCAAAAAACCTTTACAGCATTTTTGTGGCATTGTAAATATTGAAAGTTTTCTGTTTCCTGAGTTTTATCTCAAAACTGTAACAGGATTTTCGTGGCACCTTTCAGATGTGAATTTCTGCTTAATCACAGCTGGACACAAACAGCTTATTGGAAGGTTTGCCAGCATATGAATTAGAATACACAGACATATAAATTAAGATACATTGGAATGTGTAATGTATCTCTCTGTTTAATATCAGAATTGTGCAGTAGAGCAAAATCGAGTTTAGATATTTAAATTCTGAAAATGAAAGTTGGATCGAATGTTCACTTAGTTCTGAAATCATGAGTGTTCTATGCTTGCTATAGTGGCAAACAATTTTGATTACGAAGCTCAGGTCACCTGATTTCGAAGAACTGCAATATGATATTATCTGAAGTATGGCATAATTTAGCTTGCTGCCCCTAATGTGGAATTTTCTGTCTCCCTGTATTAGTATAATTAAAACATAGAAGGTAACATTGTATTGTTCTATAGTGACCATTCTGTATTCTAGTCTTGCTCATTGTTTCATTTGAAGGACATAAAGGTTTCATACATATCTATATATTATAGACATAGATAGAGATTATTTATTTTATGCCTTCAAAAAGTGCTTGTTGGGAGGATGTTGTGGGAGTTTTTCTGTGGTTAGCTGTGGGGATTTGTTTGTTTTTCCCCCATGGGACACAAAGCTCTTGATCTACACTTTGGGGTGTCCTATTTATATCTGCCATGCTTGAGAGCATAATGAATTGGTGCATTTTAAAGACTGCCTATTTCTCAATGCTTTTAAGTAAAGATCTCGTCCAAAACAGTGAGCTTTTCAAGAAGCTTGCCCTAGATTCAAATCCTGCAGCCAATATCTTAATTGGAAAACAGGATCTATACAGAAGTTCTGATTTTTCTAGAAATTCCAATTTGTCTTGTTTTTCTAAATCTCAGCTATCTGGTTAGAGCTTATCTCTACTGTCAGGGAGGATGGGGCCCCTTTTTATTATTTTTCTTATAAAAGGTAATTCTGGAGGATGGGTTGGGGAGTCTCTCTTTTCTGTTGCTTTGGGATGTTGGGTTTGGGTTTTGGGTTGGGTTTGGTTCTTTTTTAATTGTTAATTTTAGCAGAGGCAGCTTTGTTGTAATACCAATACTTGAATTCTGTTAAGGACCCAGATTTTGTTATCTTCTGTGTCTATACAGAAGTGTACATATAAAAGCTTCATGTCCAAGTTTTGAAATTAAAGGGTTATGGTACTATAAGAATAAAAGAGATTGAGCTTGTCATTGTATTTGAATGAGAAAACTTTTAAGCAGTCTGTCAAAAAAATACTTGTTCACAAAGGGCAAATTGCAGAAACAATACATGGTCAAGATGCATTTGCACCTTCATAGGCTGAAAGAGCTCACGTGCAAATTCTGTGGATCCCCAGTGTTTGGAAATGCAGAAGGAATTTGACATTCAAGTAAATAAACAAATGTTAGAATAAGGGTATGCAAGAAAGATATTGCAGAAAATCTTATTAGGAAAGAAACGTTTGTTCCCCTCTGCTTTATATACAATGCTATCATTGTATGTGTGTGTATATACATGAATATTTGGAAATTTTCCCCTTCCTAGCTTTGCTTGCCACCTGTGATGATGACCCCATTTTCCTGACTAGCCAATCTGAGTACCATGAAACGAGAACTAAAATTCAAATCTGAAGTCTTATGTACTTGCAATTTGAATTTAAGAATCCTTTTAAAAGAATTTATCTAACTGTAATGGGTATAAAATATTCTTCTTCTTAGATGTATTAATGAAGCAGAAGTTAAAATTGGGAAAAATAAAGGTCTTAGAAAGCAGTTTTATATAGAGTTCCTTCATAAGTTATTAAATGATTCAACTTTAATTTTGTGTAACCTTGAAGTATCAAAAAAGTGTATCATGGATTTCTTACAAGGCTAGACTCTTAATTCTAATGCCCTGATCAATAACTCTGATTTGCCCTCTAATTCATCTGGTTTGTCATGAGTGGCATGCACCCATATTTGTATATATTATTAAAGGAAATAAATATGGAGGAAAAAAAAGTTTTCTTTTATCAGTCGCTGAAGTAGAATCTCACAGAGAGACAAGCACATTTCATATCCATAGATAGATATGAATGTGCAAATCACTTGAGACTCAGGTGGCTGTTTTGGTTAAGGTAAGTTGCACTCAATCTTTGTAAAAACAGATTATTTAATTTCTTGTTTAATTGGTTGCAGTCCACCAGGTTTATCATAGGAAGAAACAATAGTAGCTGAGTTTTAAACTTTGGTCTCTATTTTCCCTTAAATGTGAACATTAGAACATAGGGAAAATAGCTTTACAAATTGTTCTTTTTAATCTGCTTTAGTGTGAAAGGGGAGTATATGTGAGTACAGAGTGGTTTTTTTATGTTGCTTTCATAAGTGCTATTTATTTTATGTAGAAGCCATTTCCATCTTACTGAATGGGGAAATAAATGCTTTGCATTTTTTTGCATCCATGAGTCCATTAAACCTTGTTGGATCTTTTTTCTTTTCTACCCCCCACACCCTTACCATCTCTTTGTTTCGCTTTTTTAGCCTCTGATACTTCCTCATCTTCTCTCTCAAGAACAGAGTCTCCTCTCCAGCTGTTTGTATCTTCTCATCTTCCTCATCCTCATCCTAAACCAGATATCTTTGTCTGGCCCCATGCAGCCTCTCCACCCTGTGACCAAGTTCCTGAGCCCTGTTCACCTTCTCACTGTAAACTGGCTTTCTATTCCTGATGGCGTATTAGTTTGTGCTATATTTCTGATAATCTTCATAACTGATAAACTATGTTTAAACAGTGTGTGTTACAAGACCGTCAGTGCAATCTAGCCGTTCAGCTGCTCTTCATTTAATACTGAATGGGTTTTAAGAGTTTCATCAGAATAGGCTGTTCTATTAATCCTCAAAGAGGTGAAGTTACAGACGTACTATTGTGTTCCCACAACTGTTGCAGAAAATGATAGGTGTTTCATAAAAGACATGATAGGCCAAGACTGCTTTGTAATATTTACTGCTGTGAATTATTTCCATTGCTGGCATCTTTTGCCTAGCAAGCCTGTCCTTTTCCACAGAATTTCCTTCTTAATTGTACGATTTTTAAATGGCTTCATTTCAGAAAGCCTCTAGCTAATTGCATCCAAAACCTTCCCTGAAAATTCACATGAGGGAAGAAATTGCCTAAACATCAGTGTGTATTTTCATATTGCAGGTAGGCTGTGTTGGAGTGATTCCGAGGTATTAGAGCAGTGAAAATCGGCATTATGCTATTTGAAATCAAGAGCCATTCTATCCATTGAAACGATGCCAATTTAAACATGCTGTAAGATCAATCCCCATGTTGTTTGAATTCAAACTGTAGGGTAATGCTGCCAGAGTAGTTCAGGGGGCAGGATAAAATCAACATAGTTTTCCAGCCATTTCTTTTTAACTCCATTTCTCCTAAATTGTCCTTCACCCATACTTTCATGCATAGCACTGGTTTTGTCACCACATTTGCTATAACGGAGTCTTAAGAAATTAATTTTTGACACCTAGCCATTAACTGTTACCATATTACAGATATTAATTCATAACAAAATGTCAGAAATAGATCTTTGAGTATTAGCAAAATTCACATGTTAAAATAGCTGACATAAGACTGAAGTTTTGAAAACACCAGCTCATTCCATTACGTAAAGCACAGGTTTTCCATTTTTAAGCCACTGTATCCTCAGGGAAAGGAGCTCCCACTGTATGCATGAGAAGTAATGGAACCATGAAAAAAGCCCAGATATTAGAGTTCTTTGTATAGTGTAAATAATTAATGAAAATTAAAGTTGCCTGTCTTTGAGTAAGTGTAGGTTTGTCTGGATGCTTATAGCATATTAGTGTAGTTACCAGGGCTGAAAGTGTCATGTTCTATATCTTGTTCAGTTCAGTCTTCTCTCTAGTGAAAGAAGCAAAACGCACTTTTTCTTATTGATAACAATGACAACACCGAGATCATGGGTTCGATTCCCGCTTGGTCCCCATGTGTTGTCTGGTCTAGTCGAGAGGTGTCCCTGCCCGTGACAGGGAGGTTGGACTAGATGATCTCTAAGGTCCCTTCCAGCCTAGGCCATTCTATGAAATAACATGACTCTTTTAGCTCAGGGACGGTTAGCCCAGTGGATTGAGTGCAGTGCTGACGACAATGACAACACCGAGGTCGCGGGTTTGATTCCCACTCAGTCTCCATGTGTTGCCTGGTCTAGTCGAGAGGTGACATCTCTGCCCATGACAGGGAGGTTGGATTAAATGATCTCTAAGGTCCCTTCCAACCTAGGCCATTCTATGATGACTTGATTTCCAACTTCTGTTCAACAGGAACACAAATTTAAAGTTATAGCAAAGGCTTTATGAAAATACTAACTGTAAACAGTAATCTTCCTTTTTTTTTTTTATCTTTTGAAACCCTGTAAGCCTGATTTACAGTTTGAAGATTATCAGAAATCCTCTGGCTTTCTCGGAGTTTTGGGGGTTTATATAATTTTTTTTCTCCTTCTTATTTTGGTTTTTAATTTGTGGTTTGATCTGTTTGAAGGCAATCCATCAGATGCTTACTTTCATGGGTTTTACTCCCTTTTTTCAGTTTGTAAGTAGTATTCTCTGTGCAGTTCTATTAATTTAAGGACTTAAATCACCTTTTCCTTTACCACAAAGCGTACATATTTTGTCCATTGGTAGTGGCAGTTTGATAATGTGTAAAGCAAGGCTGATGCTCTTTGCCCATTCAGTCACCCCAAGGGCTGTAATCTTACAAGATCTGAATGCGCTCAACTAACACTTGCATTTAATAATTAAAGAGGCAGTATTCATTTCTAGAGGACTGCAAATAAAGATATATTAGGAAGGTCTTGTATAACATAATGGCCAGCTGCCAGTATGTTGTGCTGGAGAGGATTTTATGCCACTGCTGTTCCTAAGGAGTACGTTGGGCCAGAATGCAACATTGCAACTACTGTCATGATTCATAATAAACTACTACTTTCTCTTGTGGTACAAATTCTACTTGTGGAATAAATCTCTTAGGAGTGCACTTTAAAATAATGAAATGATGAAAACAAGCTAAGTAAGAGAGAATGAAGAATTTAGATCAATAAAAATGACTTCTACTTTAACCAGGAAGTGAAATAATGTGGTTTTTTTCTATAACCAGTTACATTATAAAGCTATGTGTTTAGCCTTGAATAGTAAATTTGGGGATTTTTTTTTTCATTGATTGCTTTACTTTTTCATAGATTTTTATGAGGTAGTGCAGGAGACCAGTTTGATGGAGGAGAGAAAAGTAAGGAGATACATAAAACAGGATGACTGACAGTGACTAAGCACGGAAAAATCTTTCTTCAGAGGGCTGAAGGGATGTTCTATGAATGATGCTCTCCATACCTGACTACCAATATCTGTATACATGACTTTGTACCAAAAGATAAGCTAGCTTTGTAATGGGTGGTTGTGAAAGGTGTCTCAGACACTTCATGAATTTTATGGGAAAATTTGTTAGTTTTGGCTAGACCTGCCGCTGTACCATATCAAATGCATCTTTTCAATGATGTGTCAGTCCTGCAGGAGGTACTGCCTCTTTCTTTTATGTGATTGCTTTTTTTAGCACAGAATTCTCCCAAGTGTCACATCACTAATATTCTTACTTCCAGCTTTGTCTGCATGTGAAGTTGAAAGTCATGGCTTTTTTCCTATTTTCTCCTGCATGAGCATTGCAGTTAAAGCATTTTTTTCTTTATGTGAATGTTGAAACACTGAAAACCTGATGAATGTAAAACTGTTTAGCAATATTGTCTACTATAGTTAAAAAGAAATCCTGTTGTCGCTTGATAGGAACATGTTTCATGAAGGATGACAGTCCATTCTTTTACTTATTTTCAGAAGGAAGATTTGATGTATATAGCAAAGTGATTTTGTTTTTCTCCAAGCCTGCATGTGAACTAAGCATAGATAGAGTCTATCTGTGTCGTAGTTCATATTCATTAGGCTATATTGTGAAGAATTTATAGGGAAATGACCAAGAAAAGAACTAAAGGAGTCATAGCATACTTATTTACATAAGGTGACTTATAAATGATGGGTTTCATGTAGACTCTCCTGTAATAATTAACTTATGAAAAGCCTGAAGAGAAGAAATTAAGCATTTTGTTGTTCACAGAAGTTGAACTGTAGTTGTGACTTGGAAAGGAAAAGTTTCTGTGAGATAAAAAAAGTGAAAGAGGGTAGATTTAGGTTAGATATTAGGAAGAAATTCTTTACTCTGGGCATTGTGAGACACTGGAAGAGGTTGCCCGGAGAAGCTGTGGAAGCCCCTCCCTGGAAGTGTTCAGGCCTGGTTGGATGGGGCTTTGAGCAATCTGGGCTAGTGGGAGGTGGCCCTGCCCATGGCAGAGGGTTGGAAGTAAATGATCTTTGAGGTCCCTTCCTACCCAAACAATTCTGTGATTCTATGATTCTTGGTGAAATTGTGTTTGTACAAGGCTGTTGGTAGGTTTTCTATGTGAGATTGAATTGAAACATGGACATAACCCCGGTTGTTGCAGATGCTATGTTAGTGCAGTGAGTAGAAACTCTAAATTCTGGACAAATGTCATTATAGGAAGTTTGAGTGGGAGCTTATAGCTTTTTGGTTTGGAAACATTTTGTTATGATTAACACCTTCTGTCATACTTTGCACTATGCACTGTAATTGTGATTCCATATGTTAATCAATAAGTAATTTAAGTAGCGAATTCTAGGTCTTGCAAAAACAGTCTCTGTTTCACAGTAGGCCTTTCTAGTATAAACAAGCTTCAGAACAAAACTAAATAAATGAAAGTGAGTAGCCAGAATCCATTTTGGTGATGTTACTTTTCCAGACCTCATATTTTTATAATTCAAAATAAACACCCTTTGCTTTGGTATTTTGATGGAATTTTTTCTTGATTTTTAAGTGTCATACTCATAACAGCAAGTCTAGAAGTTGTCTGGGAAGAGCAAGAATATTTGTCTGCATGAAAGACACAGTAAAATTTTAAACCAGAAACTACTGCTAATGTATCGGAGCATTTGAAGGAAGCTAGAATTGAGTTAATTTTAATACTGAAACTAAAGATATGTTTGTGTTTGGTCGAGGGTCCTGAACACAGACCAAAGGAATTAAAGTACAGATAAGGCTGGGAAGAGAGATTATGACAAAACCAACATGGAGCTACCAAATGAGTAACTGGCTACATAGGATCTGTGAGGCCTCGAGCAGACTTTAAGATCCACTCTTTACCCTCAATTTCTCACAAACCACTGTGTATGTGCACCAGTTGTAGGTGATATTCCTCTGCATTTTAGAATTGTAAAGCGACTATGAAGATCTTAATCTGAGGACCTCTGACAAATAGTTCAGATATGTTAGTTATATTAAGAAAAGAGTTGAATAAAATTTGAAGGAAGGTCAGAAGAAGCCTGGTAGGACGCAGGATCTTTAAAACATGTTTATAGTATTTTTAGTTGTCTGCAAAATGAAAGCTTACTACTTGTATTTCAGCAGAAGGTGCCCAAAATGAGTTGGATGACAGCTAATTGTGGCAATACAAAAGAGGTATTTAGAGGTTCATGGGTTAGAGCTATCAGCACAAGTGGAGTGTACCTGAAAGGTGCCTCATTCAACAATATCAAAAGACTACTGTCATTAAAAAAATAATTATAATTTTACAGAAAGTGATAGAAAAGATGCAATAGTGTGATAAAGGATACAAGGACTGTTCAATTCTTCTGGCTGGAGCCTGAGCTGTTTCACCAGCCAGTAAAGGAAAGCAAACTCCACAGCCAGGTAGTGTGTCAGATCTTCAGGGCAGTTCGTAAAGACACATGAAACACTAAATATGTCCTGTGCTGCTTTTCTCTCGTTTCTGTCAGTTAAGGGAAATACAATGCACACTTTCAGACAAACTTCTCTTCCAACTGATTCCTCTTCCAACTGATTCATGTACTAGGAATTTCTTCTGGTTTTATCGTTTGCTCATTTATCTTGTCACCCTTAAGAATGTTTTATGTGGCAAATCTCTTGTTAAAATTTTTAGAAAATTTTTGATACTGAGAGTGAACGTTTAGTTTATTTCTTAAGTGCTAGTGATGAGGATGCGATTGTGGGGTGCAGTTCAACCTGTACAGGATTAAATACTTTCTTTTGGGGTACCTGCCATTGTTGACTGTAGCAGATATGCCAGTGGGCTTAGAAGAGCTCTCATTTGGTCCAGCTTGGAATAATTCACTTCCATTATTATTAATCAGGCCTAGTCAGTCTGAGATTTTGTAATTTGTAGTTATAAAACAACTACAGATAGACTGAAGCTTAGATGACAAGAAGGAGCGTAGCTTAAAATACTCATTGTCTTGATTTAAAAAAAAAAAAAATCATTACTAAATATGCTGTCAGTAACTGGCTATCTGAAGTACAGTTGCTGTTAGATATTCCCTAGTCATAGAAGCTTTTTTAGTTTTGGTACTTTGAAAAAGGTAGTATTTGCCAGTGAAATTCTAATATCACTTGTAAACGCTTCATTTTACGAGAATCCTCTACACTGTAGACTTTGGGAATGTCCTTTATGTAAGGGACTTTTGTGCCACAAGGGATTTTCACGCAGTCTTCTTGGTTAGCTGAGATTTACATTCAGTGTTCAGTTGTGTATTTGTGGTGGAGTGTGTTGTGATCATCCTGTATATTTTAGTTCTCTCTTTTTGTACTGTTATTAGTCTTAAAATAGTCTACTAATTGCACTTTATGGCAAGATGTAGCAATTACTAACATCAAAGTGCATGCAGCAACCTGAAGATTACAGTGTAGGATACCATCACAAACCTTCTTTTGGATCATACATTGTCAGAAAAGAGGTGTTGAGTTTAACAGGGAGTATTCATAGTAGCAACCAAAAAATCTGTCAGATATAGTTGCCAGTGTTCACTATGTATTTTATATAGTCTTTCAGACCATTCAGAAGCTTTCTTAACAAGGAAAATTAACCTGACATTTGAAAAACTTCTCTGAAATTGTACGTGTAAATTAAATCTTGAGGAGTTTGGAGTAAAAGCACTTATGAAAAGGGTTATGATTAAAGGTTTTGTGCAGCCCTGTTATGTTTTTTTTTCTGTGATGTTAATTGTTTTTGTTACTTCTACAGGTTCAGTCCATGCCACATCAATAGCAGCTTCCAGAGTGGAGCAAGCACTGTCTGAGGTTGCTTCATCTCTGCAAAGCAGTGCCCCTAAACAAGGTCCCTTGCATCCTTGGATGACTCTGGCTCAGATATGGCTTCATGCAGGTACTGTTAAAGTAAAACTCTTCTTCTTTACTGTCGTTTTTCTTGCTAGCCTAAGGACTTGCAAAAATTTACTGGTTTCATTCAGAATCTTTTATCCCTTAACAAATCAAACTTTTGCCAGGGGTGTGTGTGGCACTGAAGCAAGTCAAGAAATAAAAGGCACGTTAGAGTTCCTCGAGTGTAAGATCATTTATGTAAGAGGCAGTAGTTCTATAATGCACCTGTTAACAGCGAGATCATATGTTCTATAGAGCAAAGGCAACACTCCCTTACTCATGAAGAATTTAGTTTCTGAAGTAGTATTTGGAAATTTATATGACCTAATTCTTTTGGTTGGAAAAAGATGTTTGTAAAATTACTGAAGCAAGTTCCTGCAACTAGAAAAGCTTTATCATTGAAAATCTCTGCATATGTGGAAAAAAGGTTAATAGTACTGTTGAGCAACCTGTCACTTGCAGCTGTGGTAGTGAGTTCTCATACTATTCTCTTCCTTCTAGCTTCATTAACGTGAAAGACTCAGGATTATTTTTCTAAATGTGGAGTCATCTTGCATGGATTTAGTATTGTTATACTGCTTCAAGCCTCAAGCTAAATGCAGTATCACAAGTGACTGCTGTATAAAATAACCAGAAAATAACGATCCAGTGTGTTTTTACACGGTTAAATATGTGTACCGTGCAATTGTTTTTATTGATACTTAGATCAGAAAGGTGTAGTTTAGAAATCAGTCAGCAATTGTTCTGCTTTGGTTTGCGTTTAGGTTTGAGTGGTTTTCAGTCATTTTTTTTTTCTTCGTGTTTACATTCAACAAAACAATGCTGTATTTGTTAGCATTTTAATTTACCTATTTTGTGTTAACAATTTTGTTGTGCAAAAGTCATTACAGGGCAGTGGCTCTGAGTTATTGATTAGTGTTTTAGGGAAAAAGCCCAGAAGATTGGAAAGAAAGAGCAATGATAGTGATTAATAATAGTGATCTCGTATTGGGGCTGGAAGGACTCCTTGAAAGCATCACAGATTAGAAAAAAGCAAAGTCTTTCAGGTCATAGTGTAGTCACCTAACTTGCATCATGACATCATTGATTTTAAATATTTATAAGCCATCATATTTACAATAACTATTAGCATCTATAATGCTGATAATTTCTTAACCTTTTGTGACAGCTTGTTCCACTGCTTATTTTCTAGTTTTCAGTTTTTATTGGTCACATCCTATTGCTGCTTATCCAGTCCGTGCAAGTGACTGCCAATGTTTTGCCCACGAAGGAGGGGCCTGGACACTCTTTGCTGACTCCTTTTCAGTTCACAACTTAGTCAGGTTTGCATACACGGTGGTCTGCTGGGGCAGTCTGCTGCACAGTCTACTTTCCACTCTTAAAAATATCTGTTACAGTAAGTGTGGTCTGTAGACCATATTTTTGATTCCCAGCAAGAGGAAGCACAGGTGGAAAGTAGGAGAGATTCTTTGTGTATAGGGAGCAACAAAAAAAAAAAAAAAAAGAACCAAAGAACAAAACAAGAGATGAAGAAGAGCTGCTGTCTGCCTTCAGAGAAGGCAGCAACCTGAAGTCTACTTCGGAGTGATCCTGTTCTTGACACTTCTCTTGATTATTCATGCTGCATTTCAGAGTGTTTAGGTATCCTCTTATTCAGATACTTGCCCTGCTTACAGTAAACGCCCTGAGCCTTGATGTAGTGGTTTGACTTTCCCCCCACCCTTCCGTTCTTCCTGGGCTTAATATCGCTCCCATTTTATCCACCTTCTCCCACCAAGCGGCACAGGGGGACAGGGAATGGGGGTTGTGGTCAGTTCATCAGATGTTGTCTCCACCCCTCTCCTTCCTCTGGGGGAGGGCTCCTCACTCTTTGCCTGGGTCGTTGTGGGGTCCCTCTCACGGGAGACCGTTCTTCACGCATTTTCTCCAACATGAGTCATCTCACAAGAGACAGTTCTTGACAAACTGACCCCATGTGAGTCTCTCTTCATGGGGCACAGTCCTTCAGGGGAAACTGCTCCAGCACAAGCCCCCTGCAGCGTCACAAAAGCCCTGTCAGCCAACCTGCTTCAGCATGGGCTTCCCACGGGGTCACAGCCCCCTTCAGGCATCCCCCCGCTCCAGCGTGGCATCCTCCACAGGCCACAGGTGGACATCTACACCCCGTCACCTCCATGGGCTGCCGGGGAATCTCTGCTCCAGTGCCTGGAGCACATCCTCCCCCTGCTTCTTCGCTGACCTTGGTGTCTTCACATATTCTCCCTCCTCTCTCTGCCAGTTGTTGTGTGGCACAGTTGTTTGGGTTTTATTGTCCCCTACTTCTTACATATGTTTTCACAGAGGCATTCTATCCTGTCATCACTGATAGGCTCAGCCTTGGCCAGCAGCGGGTCCGTCTTTGCAGCTGGCTGGCATTGGCACCATCCAGCACAGCTTCTAGCAGCTTCTTGCAGAAGCCGTGCCTACAGACCCCCCTGCTACCAACATCTGGCCAGGCACACCAAATGCACTTGAGAAAGACTCTTTAGTGTAGGAACATTCAGAATAAAGTTTTCTTCCAGAAGCACAATGCAAAGCAGATATTCTGGAAGGTTTCTTCATCAGTATATATGGGTTACTGCATAGGAAACAGTGATAAAATTACTTAACGCCTTCCTTACAACACATGTGCTTTAAATAAAAGTGAAGATTTGCCATTGGGAAATTGCTTCCTTTTTGAGACTCATACCACATTTAACTGTTTGACTCCCTGTATGGTTGTGCAGTAGGGGGGAAGTGAAGTGCACTTAATGGAGAGTAGGAGGGAAAGTCTTTAATGAGCTTTAAATCTTAAAATACACAAATTGAGAATTATTCTTCCTGTTAAATTGTAGAGATATGGTAAAGTTAAGTAAAGTTCTAATACATGAAAAACTTAGGGGAATATGTTTACCCAAACTAATATACATGATGTGGAAAAGAGTAAAAAATGCTTACTTTTATGGATATACAGAGTCA